TATTGCCAGCATGTAGCTATGCACAGGCTGTGTCAGCATTGCCAAGAGGAAAGCAAGGTCTGTGGAGGAGGCGATGGGGAGCTGCTGCGTCGTGCTCGGCACGGAGACCCAGGGCTGGCCGGGTTGTGGATGAGGAATCGCCACCGGGAATTCCTCGGGCCTCTTTTCCGTGCACGCTCGGAATTACTGTCTGGGCTGTTGCTGTTCTGTGGGCAAATGGAGGATAATCCACTTGGCGCCTCCTCGTAGTGTGAACTTCACACAAACCTAATTCCCCGGCCACTTTCGAGTGACTCTGATGCAAAGAAGCAATTAACTGTCATTTATTGCCCAACGAGGAGACTAGGGCACGGTGGTGAAAAGGGGGCTCGTGTGAAAGATCTTCCCCTGTGTACACGGTCCTGCCAGTGGTCGGGGGCTGCTTCAGAGGCTGTGAAAATCCTCGATGGCATCAGCACCAAAGGCGTTTTCTCTAAAAGGCAAAAGCAAAAATAGTTGATTTGTTTGCTTTTTTTCCAGTTAAAAAAGCAACAACTGATACCTATGCTTTTACAGAAGGAAATGGTATAGATTCTAACTCAGCACAATTCTGTAACCTATGGAAAAGTCCAGACATTGCTAAATCTGGACTATAATTAAAACAGCTTTCTAAAGAAAAGAACAATGTAGGTTTTTTTGTTTGTTTGATGTGTTGCTAATCACTAATGACCCTCTTTTTTCACTTCCATTTAAAACATGGATATAAGCAATTAGCCACATCTTGCACAAAGCAGCATTACCTGAACAAATAATTAAGATGATCTTGAAATTAAGGAAATCAGTTTATGAGAGAAGCAGGTGCTTAATGGAGGTGAGACCAGCTGTGCTTCCCAGGAATGCACATGAAGCGCTTCATGGAAAAATGTGCGAGGCCTCTGCACAGTACTGGAAGGAAATTTATAATAATACAGACAAATTACATCCTATAAATAGAAAGATGGATTCCATAGGACAGAAGGCTGATGGAGAAAATATAAAACTTGCTTCTTTCTTTTTAAGGGGCTATAATGTTTATTTAAAGTGTCAGCTTGTTGTCGGTGAGGAGTATAAACCCCCAGGTGCAGCAGGAACGTTCTTCCTTTTAGGTTCTCATCTCTGCTAATGAGCAGCCGTCCATGGGGGAACATTCACATTTCTCTCTTTTAGCACTTTCTGCCTTCCTTTTGCTGGTAGAGCTGGACTTGTTCAGAAGCGCTGCCACGGTGGGACTCTGAGACTAAGGCAGACCTGTCCAGCCAATAAAGAACATATAGGCTGCCTCAAAGGACAGGCTATAGACTGCTCTTAAAGAACAGGGGATGGTGGATGTGTGGGGCTGTTTCCAAGTATGCTAAAAGTATTACTGGGCGGTTAAAAACAAGGCCATCAGAGGAGGTTGACTAAAGAATTGCTACTTGTTCAACCACGGACAAGTCTGAGTTCAAATACAGGTGTGCTGCATGTCCTAGAATCATGTTCCCTGTTTATGAACCTTCATCTTTTGGCTAATCTGACTACTGAAAACAGTAGTGTCAAAATTCCGATAAACTATCCCAAGAGATTTTTTGACTTGTAGTGTTAAGGAAAGGAATAGCGTGTGCTTATTATCAGGTAGTGGTGCTTTATCTTGAGCTGTTCTTAGACTGCCAATCCACTTTATGAATTGGCAGAGGAAAAATGTGATCTGAAGGTCATATTGCAGTCAAATAATCACAGATTTTTTTTTTTTTTTGTGGCATGGAGAAAAACTATACCAGTGTTTATGCTTCATGTATTAAATTAACTGCAGTCTTTTTTCAGCATTCGATATAGAGGGCAGTGATCCCAGTGCAAGGCGAAGACATTGGAGAAGAGGAAAGAAGGTAGAATAGCTTGGCAGGATGCCTGTGGGACTTGCCATCTGTTGTGGCTTGCACGTATCTGCAGAGTGTCATGTAACAAGCAAGTGATGGCATTAAAACCAGCCACAGACATGGGGCAGGTTAATTATTTGGGTGTTTGAGGCATGCGAGAGTGCCGGGATGCGGGGGAAGTTAAACAGGGGAAGTGTTAACAGCAGAGCCCATGTACCCTCGTGCACACATCAGGCTTTCAGCTTGCAGGCAAAAATCTCTTTTCTGGGTTCAGTAGAACAAATAAGCACCCTGTATCCAGGGGGTTAACACGGCCCTGTGTTTGTGGCTTGGTTTTATACAGGGTTTTGCATTTTGAATTCTGAGATCGTGGCTCGTGTAGCCCCCTAGCCATAACTATTATGAAAAATCCAGAAAAAGTTAGTATATGAAGGTAAGGCTTTGGGTTACAGCACCTTTTATACTCTCTCACAACGGAGACTTTTTCAAGAAAATCCCTGTTTGATGGGATTTCATTGTTCCGTTTGCTTGGGTCTAGGTTTGTGCTAAGACTGAAAGTCCATCTGTGCCATGTGCTGCACAAGGTGAGGAGCAGGTGATTTTGAGGGTTTTAGTTTGGGTGTGGGGGCTTTCTGTCTCGCCAGTAAAAATCTTGCTTTGGATTATGTCACTATTTTAGGATAGCACCTTGTTATGTGGAAGATATTTTTTGCATGCGTACAAATACAGAAAAATTATTCTGCATAAGATAACCCTCATATTTCCTTGTGCCCCAAGCTCATTCCCATCTTCATGTTTCCTTTATGACATTTTTTTCCCCCTAGTAATACTGTTGCAGGTAATGTCTGCTGAATTTCACTTTCTGCAAACTCCCCAAAAGCCATTAACCAAGAAATACTTTCCAGCTACAGTGATTGCAGATGAGTCTGTGTTTATTATAGATTGCTTGTGCCTTTTTTACACTCCTAAAATACTTTGGGAGAATTAACTTTTCATTGACGTAATCTGAACAGCACCATCAACTTTGAGATTTTTATCTGGCTGGCGAGTTGTTTATGGAGTTGTTTATGGGGTGCTTGCCTTTCCTCACTAATTAATGCAATGTGTCATGCCACACTTAGTGGGGAAAAAAGATAAAATTGCTTCAAAATATGCAACAACTTGCTACTAACTTGGAAAGTTATGATGACAGAATAGGGCCGTGCTGTATAAAAGCCAATTACTTATAGCCCCGTGTAATAATATTGTATAGTCTAAAGATAATGTAGAGTGATAATACATTCAGGGGAAAAAAAAAATCTATCTTTCCCTTTCAGAATACACTGATACAAAATCAGTAACTGGCATCACAGAGCACTGTAGATACCTGATGCCTTCCTGTTGTGTCGTCTCTAGGACAGGGGACTCCTTGTCCCAGACGGGATCCTCCTGTACTGCGGGTTGATGGATAAGTCACAATCCCTTGGATGAGGAATTTGAGACACGGAGGCCGCTGTCAGTAACTCTCTCAGCAGCACAAAAGGAAACGCCTGGCGGAGCTGGGGATGGTTCTCGTTCCTGTCGTGCTGCAGAGCTGAAGCAGAGGCTCTGGGGCCGCTCCGTTAACGTGCGGCACCGTCCGGGTGGACGCTGCTGGGTTGGCCTAACGGCTGACGAGCGGTCAGGGTTTCTCTCTGCACCTACCATTTGGGCATGCGAGGAGCCTTGTTGGCATCTGCGTTCTTTGGCAAGGATGCTTCGTTCCGTTTGGCAATATTGTTTGTGTCTGTAAAGCTGTTGAGATTGTTTTGAATGGAGGGAGAAAGAAAAGAAAAAAAGAGGAGTGCCAGTTGAATTTGCACAAAGTCAAGAGAGGAAAAGTGGCTATTCCTGTAAACAGCCCTTCTCTCTTGTCACCTTGTTCTTACATACACATACTCAGGCTGCGAGCTAAGCTTATAGCAGAGCAGGTTTCAGCAGAGAGAACCATCAACCTTAAGGTCAGCAAATGGATCTTCAGTGCAGGGGAAAATGCCCTGGATGAATTCCTGTGTGCTCTGCTTTCAACAGGTGTGGCTAAAATGTCCTGAACGTGGCAGAAATCCTCCTTTCTGTGGTGTAGCTTTCTCTCAGCTGTTCTCGTATGTCGTTAAGTAAAGGTTTAGTGTGTGTCACTCGCACATTGTCATTTTTGCTTCTCTTGTTTCTGACCTCCTTGTTCTCTTCTCCCACCCGCAGGCTTTGAATTACTGTACCAGCCAGATGTGGTTCGGCTGTACCTCTCCATCCTCACCGAAAGTCAGAATTTCAACACCCTAGAAGCTGCAGCAGGGGCCTTGCAGAACCTCAGCGCTGGGAACTGGACAGTGAGTGCAGTCTTCAGTCTGTCGCTTGTTTCTTTTTGCTAGATAAAGACAAAGCTACATGCCATTTTAAGTTCACTGTTATTTTGCATTTGCTTGCCTTTTAAAAGAGGGGATACGGGAACCCCAAGCAGGTAGTTCCATTTTATTTCCCCTCTTGAGATGCTTTGCATCTTCTGGACAGATGGTGTTTGTGAAGCAAGAGTGTCACTGAACTCATGATGGCTTGAACTTAAGCAGGTTTTAATATTTAAGCTACTTAACCATTGCTGCATTCATTCAGCAAAGCCTTTTGTTAGATATTTAAGCGTCCTAGATATTTAATTCATTGGATTGTCAGATTTCTCAGGAAAGTGCATTCTGGATCTGTGAATTCACAAAGCTCTGCGGTTTCTCTTCCCTTGTGTGTTCTGATCAGTGGTCCACGTACATCCGTGCCACGGTGCGGAAGGAGAGGGGCCTGCCGGTGCTCGTGGAGCTTCTCCAGTCTGACTCTGACAAGGTCGTGAGGGCTGTCTCAATTGCCCTGAGAAACCTTTCCATGGATCTTCGCAATAAAGATCTTATAGGTATCTTCTGGTTGTTTCTTACTGGGTGAAGTTTTTGATACACAGGAGAGATGGAGAGATCCCACATTTTTTCTCCTGAGCGTAGGGTTCCTTTCATATGCAGTTGCCATCAGCAGTATCTAAAACCACTCTGTGTAGCCAGCAACTGGAAGATTACCATTTCACAATGTAATTCCAACCCTTTCCAACAAGCAACATTTTGAGGCAAATCTTTGCAACTCAGGAGTAAAAACACGTAGATCTCTGTAGGAAGGGTGTATGGTCATGCTGAGGATCAGGCGGGTTGGTAGGAGCCTGCTTGCCTTCCTTCAAGCTTTGGCTGACATGGCACATGAGCTCCTGGTCACATTGAGTGATTTCAAACAGGTGGCTCCCGTGTAGATTGGAGCTGCAATCTGCTGCTTGCCATGCTGAGCTATACGAGGGCAGCGCAGTGGACCTGGATGTGAAGCTGTCTCCTCTTCCCACCAGTGAATTCCTCCTTCCCATCTCATTCTTCTGCAGTGCAGTTGCTGTAGGAGCTTGACGCTTGACAACTTAGAGTTGAGATACTGCTCCTTCAACTTTGATTTTTCCACAGTGCTCAGTGACTCCCAGTTAAGGGAGCAAAGGGGCCTTCACCTGCATGTAAGTGGGAATCAGAAAGGTTCAGCTGTGAGTTGAGTTTTCTCTGGTTGCCTCTGCATTTTATTGAGGTACTTGCTTAAACTATAACCTTGTCAGGTCAGAAAGTATTCCTTCCATGTTTTAATGCCACCATCCAAGCTGATACCAATAAATAACAAGCTGCAATTTTGCCTCAATACACCAGGCTTCTTTTCTAACAGTTCAGAGGTGTAGCTCAGCAAAAGGTACAGACAGACTCCGGGGAGTGATAAACTTTGGACTCCTTGTTTTTTCCCCGGTACTACATGCTGTGAAGGCTAACTGCACCCAGGAGGAAACGCTCCTGCCTTTGCTGGGGGAAGGTTAATAGATGCATGGCCGCTCTCCTTGCCCCAGAAGGCCTATTATAAGGCTAAGTTGAGTAAACTGTGTGCGTGTATTAGCATGAATATGTGGCATTAGCTGCAGCTACTGGCTGCTTTTTGCCTCAGGCACTGCAAAGTATGACGGATGCTGGCCGTAAGATTCTCAATATAGACTGAAAAGTGTTTTTTTTTTCCCCTCAATCCCTTTTAGCATTCGTGATGTAGTAGTTTCTCTTGGATATCTACTTTAAATCACCTTGAAATAATTAGTAATAAATAAACCATGAAGCTGTAGTCTTGAGGTTCCAAACATGTTATAACATCTTTTGACCTAGCAAACATCCTTGAATTTTAGAATTCAGGGTGGGAAGGTGGAATTATTGTCTGACTAAAGACTAATGGTATCTTTTTCCCTTTTCTAGGTAGTTATGCCATGGGTGAACTGGTAAGAAATTTGCCCAGCAGGCAGCAGAGGTCTTCAAAGAACTTGGAAGAGGACACAGTGGTTGCAGTGTTGAACACCATCCATGAAATCATTACTGACAGTTCAGAAAACGCAAGGTCTCTGATCCAGACGCAGGGCATTCAGAAGTTGGTAGCTATCAGCAAGTCAAGGTAAGTGATAGTTGAAGGCAAAATGCACAAAAACTCACTGCAGACATGAAAATGTCACTATGAGCAGCACTGCTTTGCTTTGTGAAAGTATACAAGCATGCTGACCCTTCCAAGTTGTATCTAAAGCAACTAATATGGGCAGTAAAAACACATTATCAGTCTGTACCTTTATTAGGTTTAATTGGCCAAAGAAAAAGGTTGAATAAAACACCTGTGCTGTAAGGGCATGCTTTCTCTTAGTCTTATTTTAGTCTCGTTATCTTATCTTTAGCAACATACATGCATTCAGCAGTTGTCATTTGCAATGAAGCCATGACCTTTGTTTTCAGAGCAGGAGGCTTTTCACCTGTGGCAGCATTCCTGAAAGAGCAGTTACAAAATTTCATTTTTTGTAAGCTCCAAATGGCTAATGATGTACATTGAGCATTCTGACTGAGAGGCCAATGGTGCTAGTTTGAAGTGGCAAATTTCCACTGTGTGATTATGTTGAAATCTGTGTTCTGACTGGCTTAGAAAAAAATAGTTTGAGGTACATCTAGTTCAGATAGTTTATTTGTTTAAGTGTATTTTTAGCAAAATTATCAGAGAATAGTTGAAGGCTTCATTGGTTTACATTGTTAGGAAATACCAGAGCTACCCCCTCCATCCTACTCCTAGTCCAAATAAACCCAAACAGAATTAAATCCTTTTTTTTTTCATGGCAGCTATAAGGCCAAGGGTCACCATGTACTTCCTGGGTATTGCTCGAGTGCAAAAAAAGTCAAAGTGTAAAAGGTCTTGTATTTCTTGATATTTGAGATTCTAATTTTATCTTGCAAATCAGCCAGTCTCCCAGAGAAACAAAAGCAGCATCTCACGTCCTTCAGATGATCTGGAGCTATAAAGAGCTGCGAAATGCCCTGCAGAAGGATGGATGGAACAAGTCCCACTTCCAGGTAGAGATGTTGGGTCTCGGTAGTTGTTGAATTCCTGAGTGGAAGGTGTCTTATCCTAACTTAGTTGAATATTAATGTGTGGTAGACCGGGGGCTTAGAGACTTCTTTTAGGTTATAGAACAGTGTATTCTGCTGTTTCAATCACAGCATCATGGATATTGGCTGGATATGTTTCTTAGCGGCCTGTGTAGCTGTTTTGCTTTTGGAAGAATGCAACTTTGCTTAAAGCCAAATGCCCTCCCCACTTTCCTGGAGAAAGAGCAAACATTTCTCTTTCTCAGTTGTCTCATTCCAAACATATTCCATCCAGTGGCCTGAGGCAGCCACCTCCTCTGGATGTGTAACGTCCTCACCTTTCCTTCTGAGAGGCTGAGCTCCTTTTACAGGCTAACAGTGCAACCATCCAGTTGACCAAAAAAAAAAAAAAAAAGATTCCACCAACAAATCTGTATGAAAATACCCCCGTGCCATGTTGCTGTCTGAAGGGAGGTTTAGCATAATCCCATGATCTCACCCCATACGGTTGCTTTATTTATTTTTCTTGTTCGATCTGCCAAAGTGGCAAATTCTTGTTCGTGTGTTGTGTCTCGTAGTCTGTTTCTGCAGCCCCAAAGGGTTCTAAAGGTACCGCTGGCAAGTCTGGCTATGACGACAGCACTTTGCCTCTGGTGGATAAAAGTCAAGGTCAGTTCTGCTTGTTACCACTTTGGTTTACTTGCTTATTTTTTGGCTTTCATACCACATCTGTATATACCACATCTGTGGTATGATAGAGTAAAAATGTATTACTTATGTGTTCTTTACCCCACAGTCCCAAAAATGATCAGTTCTATTAATTATGTGGATAGTATTCCCTCCTCCATGAAAAGCACACTGCCAATGTTACATACAAGATGCAAAAACAAACTTATCAGTTAAATCTTCCTGGAAGTCTTTGAATAGGCATCAGTTGAAGCTTAATTAGAACACAAACAACCATGTTTGAGAACATCTTATATTAGTAAATGCAGTCTTTGCCCTGACTGTGCTTGGCCTTTAGCACTAGCTTACCCCTAGGGTGTTGACTCCATCCTGTTTATTTTGTTTGTTTGTTTTTTCTTTTTTAAATACCTGTTTTGGAGGTACTGCTTTATTTGTCATGCATGTTTTTATTGGAGATGTTTTATTCACGTGCTAGCTAGACCTAACTGTGCTTGTTTATTGGGCTTGACACAACTGTGCAAACACTGGTGTAGCTCCAGCTTTAATTCCACTATGATTCTTTGACTCTGAACCTGCTTCTGGTTTCTAGCAATCTGGTGTTAAAACTTCTTTCCAGAAATCTGGTCTGCTTTGTGATGTTGCACTTGCATCTGCAGTAACCTGAAGTTAGCCAGGTTATCAGCCCCGCTCTTCTCTGTGTGTTTCTACCTCACCTTCACTGTCTTCAGTCCAATCTGGCAAATGATGCAGGCAGAGGATGATGAGGATCAGCTTGCTGATCCAACAGTAAAGTATTTGTTTCCCTTGTGGGGTAGCTTTTTGTTGGCTCAGCAGGCTGCTGATTGGATTATGTGTCATGTGAAGCTGCACCCTTCCTTAGTTTCTTTCTCTTTTATTCTGGGGAAGCCTAGAGAGATGCTCTCTAGTAACACTAATAGAAGGTCTCAAGCAGATCTGATATTCCTGTTACTACTGGGAAAGAGGGAGTTACATATTGCCGTGCAAAAATGTATGTGCTTTCTGGAGAGCTTAAGTCAAACTTTTCTTTCTGAATAAATAGTAATTGAATATTTTTTAAAGTAGTCTTTGTGTTCAGTATTTTATAAATGTCTACAGTGTCTATAGATAGTGTTTCTATCTCTAATTTAAAACTACCACATGTTGAAAAAAAGCAAGTGTAACACAAACGCTTTCGATGCTTCTGTTTTATAGATAACGAGAAGTCTGGGAGTCGTGATATGATACCTATGGATGAGCTTGGCCCAGGTAAATTTAGTCATAGATCGAATCCCCTGTCTGTTTCAATAGAGCACACTGTCACTCACAGGAAAGTTCAACTGTTTCTCTAGGTGATATTCTTTCAAATGGATAAAGCTGACATTTAAAAACAGAACTTTACCTTACAAAAGATCAGATGTCATTTATTTATTTATTTAAATACATATACCATGTATGTGTCAATCACTCCACTACTCTTACACATAATGGAGAAATACCAGCACAACTTGCATTGTGGTCTCTGGCCATTGAAGCAGCTGCATGCCATATTACAGATCTGTAAGTCTTGAGATTCAGAGAAATTTAGTATTTTTCAGAAAGGAAAAGATGTTGAAAGGCACTTTATAGTAACACTAAAAATAATATATATAACAATTGTGGCTCTGCTTTTAACTTACCTGCATCTAACTGAGCCTATCTTTTCCTCTGGAAAGAGAATGAATGCACACTGTCTTGAAGAAGTGCTTTGAGGCTGATAAGCTCTGCAATTTGACTTGTAGATTTTTTCTTTACTGGTGGTGTTTATTCCCCTGGGAATCTCTTTTAGTTCCTCCAATTTGGCAGTATTTGTGCTTAAATTTTTGTATTAATGCCTCCAAATCAAGCTGTTTGACATACTATTATTTGTCACTGTAGCTGAAAAAAGGGCACAAAAAAAAAAAAAAGGCATGTCAGAAAACCATGTTTGAAAGTTAGATCACTGGGGTGTAATGCCTTTCATGTTGTCAGCAAAATGAGATCCCAGCTGCCATATGGATCAGCTGTCCATATGTACTTTGTCTAAGGGAGCAGCGAGGTGTTTCTCCTCACAGTGGAAGGCAGTGACTCTGGGGACGATGGCCTGGCGGGATCAGTGTGCTGGCAGGTGCTGCGTTACCACAGTGCTCCTTGTTTGAGCCTTGATATAACTGCAGCAGCTTCCTGCTGCTGGGAGCAACGTGAGGGCTGGGGCAGAGCTCGACAAGTGGGGTGCATTTTCTCAGGTCTGTCAGACCTTGTCAGCTCCAGACAGTGGTTGTGCACGGAGGGAAGATGCTCAACGTCGCTGTCGCGGTGCTGCCCGAGGGGGCCGTGGCCCGGAGCGGCCGGTGGAAGCGACAGGCCTGTGCTCTGAGGCAATTAGCCAGATCTGTGAGCTGTGTACATCTGCATCGGGGCCTTGATTAGCCCACGGTCAGACAAGAGGTGCTCTGGCCAGGGATGTGTGTTCAGGTGGCCCTGCCCTGCATCCCCATCCTCAGGCATGACTCTCCTCATCCTCTTTTCTGAAGGCGCTGGAGGTTTAATCTTAATAAGCTGAGAGCTGTGCAAGGCACAGATGGACTGACGCAGCGGGCCCCTCGGTCCTGTGGTTTGTGAGGACCACAAACACCTCACTGCAGAGTGAATGGAAGATACTCGGTGAAGCGATACACAAGACAGCAAGCAGGAGGTTAAGAAAGGAGTAAACAAGCCAAGGACAAATGGAGAAATGAAAAAAACACTCATTTCAGAATGGGGAGGGCCTCTCTTGAGCGATATAAATCTGTAATCTGAATTGTATTAATTCAGAATAATGCACTTATGTGCTGGAGCAGCACAATTTATTTATTCCATATACCTCCTTTATTCCATAGAAACAGTGTTAATACTGATTTTTTTTTATAATGAAACAGAAATGGGGAAGAGGGAGTGCTCACTAATTCCATCAGAAAGCTGCT